TATATATATATATATATACTTTGCTGGTTTTTGTGTTTCTCTAGAGAACCCAATCCAACACAACCAGCAAACTTGGTCCCCACCTTTTTTTTGTGTGTGTGTGACTTATTCTTAAAGGAAAAGATGTTTGTCTGTTATGTAGAACTCAGGGATGTTATTCCTGTCCTCATTAGACAATCATTTCTCAAGCGAGTGTATTATAGGTCAGGCACTCTTGCTAGTTGCTGGGAATGTAAAACAAAAGCATAGTCCTTGGTTTATAGTCTTGACTGGGATCCAACAAGTAACCCAACAGTTATGCTGCAGGGTGATCAGTGCTCCAGATTAGTACAGGGTGCTATGGTAGCACATGGGAAAAGGAAACAACTACAGGGCTTCCACTTTATCCTGAAAGCTGACAGGAACTCACTAAAAGATTTAAAATGAAAAAGATCTTGATGACAGAAATGTGGAAGGTATAACACTGGAGGCCAGGAAATTAGTTGTGAATAACTTGTAGTACTTCAGAGAAGTGACAATAGCCTGAACAAAAACAGTATGGATGGAAGGAGAATAAATGGACTTGGTGACTGACTAGATGAGCTGGAAGTAGCACAAGAGAAAGAAGTGAGAGTCTTGGATTTGGATCTCCTAACTCAGAGAAGGAATTTGGGAGAAGAATGTGAAGTGGAAAGGGGTGAGGAGGCAATTTAGTTCTGAATATACTGAGCATGAGGTCCCATATAAAAATTTCCAATATGCCACTGGATACACAGGCATCGTAGAGGATGCAAGGGAAGAGGCAGAGACTTTTGGTGCTTACAAGTGGAAAGGAAGACCAACATCCACATAATAACTGAGAAACACAAATCTTTATAATTTAGTTGTAATAGTAGCTTCAATAGGGGACTGGCTAATTAAACATAAAACAGCCACAAAATGAAGTATTATATAGAAATTAAAACAATTAGATACGTGTTTAGTGCTTCTAGTCTACCTCCTAATTTGTTATGTTATGCCTAGGGTCTTAAAAGCTTGAAAGTAGCCATCCAATGCACGACATTTGGGGTCTCTACTCATCTGGTGCAAAGGGGAAGAAGGAGAGTTAGGAATAGGAAGGAGAAATAGAATGTGTGGCTAATTGCCAACATGAACAACTGCCTCCTTTGCTATGAGACCAGAAGAACTGGATGGTGCCAGCTACCATTACTGAACATTTTGATCAAAGATTCTATAGAAGAATCCTGATCAAAAAGTTTGGGAAAATGTAGAACAGTTTAAAATTCTCATAGACTCCAGACTTTCTGGAGTCATGGGGGCTAGATGAACCCCTGAAACTATTACCCTGAGATAATAAACTAAAAATATTTCCCTGAAGTCTTATTAAAACCAAATAATAGTTTAGCTTAACTAGTAACAAATGTCAGCCTTCAACACTACGGTCTTTTAAGAACTATCCATGTGGAATCAAAGTGACAAAAGCAACTGGAGAGATTATATAAGAACCATAAGGGCAGTGATTTATGTTAATGAGAAATAATTCATAAAAGGAGGGTGAGAATGGTTGCACAACTCAAAGAATGTAATCTATGTCACTAAATTGTACATGCAGAAATACCTGGATTGCTGTTCTACTGCTTTTATTCTCAACATTTTTTTAAAAAAAATTTTTTTAAAAATTAGATTTATAAGCTCTCACACTGAAAGAAAAGGAGTTCTCATGGCACAGAGATTAAAGCATTTCGCTGCTAAGCAACAGGTTGGTGGTTTGAACCCACCAGCTACACTACAGGAGAAAGATGAGGCAATCTCCTTCCATGAAGATTTATAGCCTTGGAAACCCTTTGGGGGCAATTCAACTTTGTCTTGTAGGGTCACTGTGACCTGGAATCAACTCGATGGTAGTAGGTTTGGTTTTATAAGGAAAAATATCCAAGACATTGTTAGTTAAAAAAAAAAACCAGCTAGTGCTCTCTCTGTAATGGTCAACAATTAACAAACACTACTACTTCTGCAAGCAGAAAAGGCAATAAAGGTAAACAGTAACAATTTAGAAATGTGTTAGAGCAGCAGTTCTCAAAGTGTGGTCTCAGGACCACCAACAGTTTCACATGAATTTGTTAGAAAGGCAAATTCTTTGACCCCACCCTAGACACCCCTCCCAAAAAAAAGGTCAAACCCATGGCTATCAAGTCCATTTCAACTCACAGCAAATCACACTGGGTTTCCAAGGCTGTAAATCTTTAGGGAAGCAGATCACTTCACGTTTCTTCTGTGGAGCAGCTGGTGGGTGTGAACCACTGACCTATTTTGGTTAGCAGCCAAATGCCTTAACCACTACACAACCAAAACAGAAACCCTGGAGATGAAGCATAGCAATCTGTTTTGACAAGTCCAGGTGATTCTGATACATGCTCAAATTTGAGAACCAGTGGATTAAAGTAAAGGAGCGCTGGTGGCACAGTGGTGAAAGCGCTCTGCTGGCAACTGAAAGGTCTGTAGTTCTGTCAGCTGCTTCTGCAGAAAGATGTAATAGTCTCCTTTCGTAAAGATTACAGCCTTTGAAATCCTATGGGGCAGTTCTACTCTGTCCTATAGGGTCACTATGAGTCAGAATCGATGGCAGTGGGTTTGTATTAAAAAGTATTTTTACGTCGGATGTAGAACTTGATGGAATCCTCTCGGTACAATGTACTTCACTCTAAGAATAAAATTAAGCTTTGAAGCATAGTGAAATAAAGGTGCCTTTTAAAGCCCACACACCAACCATCACGTTAACATTACAATTGTAACTTATATTGTAACTACATTGAATAGGCTATAACCACAAGTTTCACGTTCAGGGGTCGGCAAGGATTAACAGGTGAAGGATCTAGTTTTCCATCTCCTGGGAGGATCCTCTACATAGCACAAATGTGTGCATCATCAAAATGAATAAACCGCCTCTTAGAAAATCTGTCACCTACCACCTCGCTTGATAACGTATATTTTTCTCCTAAATGAGACGGCAAACAAGCTCCTGCAAAATCAATTCCACATTAGTGCTCCTAACAGGACTGGAGCCTAAGACCTGCCTCTCCCCAACTCCCACACCGCAGAAAGCTAAATGAACCGGTAATGTAAGCGCCGCAGAGAACGGCAACGCCTTAATTCCAAGCCTGTGGCAAGAGGTTTGGGGAGAGGACCGGGTACCCAAGAGGAGAAATGCCGTTCTCGAACATCCACCAACAGTAGGGGCTACGACTCACTGCAGGAGGCGAGAGTACAACTCCTCAGCCGCTTGGTTCGTTCGTGACCACATCTCTCCCCAGTCTAAGCGTAGGTCCCAAGCCGACAATCTGAACTACGCGCCCAAAAAGCCAACATCCGGGGTCGTGACCCCGCCCTGCCGGGACTACTTTTGGTTTCCAACTAGTTCGGTTTGCCAATAGAATTAAACTTTTGTTTTAGTGCATACAGTGATTTTTTTTTTTTTCCCCCATTCAATAATCCTCCATTCCTGTCAGAAATAAATTAAAATAATTACAGTGGGAGCGGAGACAGACAGTCTCGCGAGATTGCCCTTCATGGATTAGTCCGCAAAAAGAAGTCCCTCTTTCTAAGCACTATTTTTGGCTCCGGAAGACAATAAGTAACACAATTTGACGCATATAAAAAGGTAATACGCTGTTTAAAATTTATATAGCGTGGTGGTGATATATTTTGTTGTCTCTGGGTAGGTGCTGAAGCGGATTGGGGTGGGGAACGAGATGAAAGTTACATATAGGGAGGGAGTGCTAAGCACTTCCTTTTCCTGTGGGAGCCGTCGGGTTGAGAGGAGCGTGGTCTTCTCTCCCCGCTATGGTGAGTGGACGTTCACTCGGCTGGTCTTCCTCCTGGTACTGAGGCTCACCGGGGAAGGACTTGGTATTCAGGGTACAAAATCTGCAGAAGAGAAAGCGAGGAGGGGAAGGAGAGGATGACCAGAGGCACCTACTTCTGGCAAGGAGGTGGGCTGTGCAGCAATACGGCAGCCATCTTAGAGGCAACGTGGGCATCCCGGGACAGAGCACGCCTGGAAGGAACACGGGAAGGCAGCCGATCGTTGTCAGACGCAGAGGGGCCGCTGGGATTCTAGCTTTCCTTGGATGGTGGAGAACTTGGGGTTCTGTTGAAAACGTTTAAAAGCTCCTGGAGCCTAAGACCGAATAGGGGCATGGATCTGTAATGTAGAGAGTTGAATTTGGGCTTTGTATTTCAGTGTTCTGTTTAGCATGGGATATTCCTATATTTTGAGAAAGGGGTTTTTGTTTATAAAAAATAAGATTTGTATTTCTGCTTTTCTTGTCCGTTTTCTTTTTGGAATGGTTGGTTTTCTTTCCCCAGGTAACAATAACTTCGTGTATGTGCCCTGTGCGCTGGATAGTTAAATAGACAAAAACTTCCTTAGGATGCTTGGATTGTAATTGAATTGGACAGAACACAGTAAAAAGTGTTGTGGACATAGGAGGCAGTGGTTCGGTTGTAAAGGAGAAGGTGTCCGAAGGAGATGAAGTATGCCAAGAGAATCTCTAGGGTGAAGGCTTGCACCCTCTGAGGCAGGAAGGTGATGGTTCTGAGGATAGGGACAAGAATATCTGGAAGGCGATGTGAGAGATGGGATCAGAGAGGTAGACAGAAGATAGAGGGGCCTGTAGGCGAGCCTAAGACCTACATACTTGGGCTACAATTCTAATTTCCAATCTGAGGGTGACACCCTTTTAGAGGGGTTGAGCAGAATGTTAACATGACTGTTTTTATTAAGCTCTGGAAGATGTGTTTAGAAGTAAAGAGGGGAAGCAGAGCTGGAAGTTTGCATGGGAAAGCCCTGGCAGACCAGATTTGCTGACATTGGGGGAGGGGAGTGAGATTTAGGTGGCACTAAACATTTTCAAATTTTACAATGTGGTTTTGATTCAGCATTGTGCTTTGTAAAGCTTCCTTTGAAACTTTTATGATAAAGCAGCCATTCTCAGAAATTTATGTGACATGACATCAGATTAAGCTGTCATGTGGCATTTAGCAGATTGGAACTGATTTATTCATAGATAGAGTTTGGAGGAAATAGCCCAAAATACTAAATGTATTGCTGTTATAAATAGGCTTGTAATCTGGAAGATGCTTATTTATGTCCCAAGTTTTTTCTTAATAAGGTTAATTCTTATATTAGAAGATTTTTCTTGCAATGATGGCGTAATTTGCGTCTTACTCTGTTCTCAGCGACAGTTGCCTGCTGTCATTAAGCTGGTACAGAAGGTTGACGAAAATTCATACTGAGCAAGACATAACCTTTTTTAATTCATAAAACTTGAGAAATGTGATGCTTAACAGGGAAAAGTGTTTTCACTTGTGAATGAATTTACTAGTTAGTAAACCTATTCTGGGTGTGTTGGTAACTTAGCCTTTCTTTTACTGGTTGGTGTTTGTTGCCCACCTCACAAATTCTTAGATAGCTGAGCACTTAATTGTATTGTTGATGTGTGAGTTGAGTGTTCCTCTAGTCTAGACACAGCTTGCCAATATAAATTAATCTTTCTCTTTTTCTCAAGGCGTGTGCTCGTCCACTGATATCAGTGTACTCCGAGAAGGGAGAATCATCTGGCAAAAATGTTACCTTGCCTGCGGTATTCAAGGCTCCGATTCGACCGGATATCGTAAACTTTGTTCACACCAACTTGCGCAAAAACAACAGGCAGCCCTACGCTGTTAGTGAATTAGCAGGTACGGATTTAGATCTCGTACAGGTTGGTATTTTAAAGCTGCTTTACAGTGATGATGAGATTATACTTCATTGGTCCGTGTTTCTGAAACCACATGATTGTTCTAGGTGGTCTGATGCTGTTTGCTGCCAAGGGTAGTGGTCATGGATTTGTATAATTGAGTAGCCAAAACTTGCATTTCTTTCCAATTTTAGGTCATCAGACCAGTGCTGAGTCTTGGGGTACTGGCAGAGCTGTGGCTCGAATTCCCAGAGTTCGAGGTGGTGGGACTCACCGCTCTGGCCAAGGTGCTTTTGGAAATGTATCCTTTGTGGTTTTACTGCACAGGCATAGTCACCTGTCACACTGAACCTGATTGATTCATATTAGTAGTTTGGAAATAGTCATGTCCAGAATACTAGACTTAATTTACTCTTGTTGAATCTGCTCTGGGCAGATACAGAATCAGTAAGATGCTTATTTCTGTAGCAAGTCTGGTGTTAGAAAGTTTTACTTGCAATGATGTCGTAATTTGCGTCTTACTCTGTTCTCGGCGACAGTTGCCTGCTGTCATTAAGCTGGTTCAGAAGGTTGACGAAAATTCTTACTGAGCATTACATAGCCTTTGTTTTCCCTTCCTAAATCTTGAGAAATACGACTCTTAACTGGGAAAATAGATGTGTCGTGGAGGCCGCATGTTTGCACCAACCAAAACCTGGCGCCGCTGGCACCGTAGAGTAAACACAACTCAGAAGCGCTATGCCATCTGCTCTGCCCTGGCTGCCTCAGCCTTACCTGCACTGGTCATGTCTAAAGGTTTGTGATAATACATTTCATAGGAGTGAGGCAACACTTGTTTTCCATCTCCTGAACATTTTTGTTCCTGTTAAATGTGCCTGTGTAAATGCTGTTCATCCCAGAGTGCCTAATGAGTGACAGATAATGTTTCAGGCCTTGTGGTTTTTTAAAATATATATAGAGAGAAATGTAATTACATCTTCTCTTTCCTAATTATTAATATTATTTTGATTTAACAAATCTATTACCAGTTAATATCAACTAGGAGTGGGTACTAATTACTCAAATACAGTGGTTTGGTCTCTTGTTAGAAAACTTTCCTACTTAAACTATCAGGTTCCCCACCCCATTTTTATTGAACTGTCAAAATGATGAGATTCCACTTCATTGGTCCGTGTTTCTGAAACACATGATATTTGTGGAAGTTCTGATTTAGCAGATTGTGTATCATTGTGGTTTTGTAAGTTACATAAACCAGCCTTTTTGTAAATAAGTTCTTAATTTTTCAAAAGTTCAGGGTAACCAGTGTTCAATTGGCTTTGCCAGGTCATCGTATTGAGGAAGTTCCTGAACTTCCTTTGGTGGTCGAAGATAAAGTTGAAGGCTATAAGAAGACCAAGGAGGCTGTTTTGCTTCTTAAGAAACTTAAGGCCTGGAATGATATCAAAAAGGTAGGCATTTGCAGTTTGGCAGTCTTTGATTAACACAAATTTGTTTCCATGTTTTTAATTTCAAAAGGTAAGTATTAAGGACAAATATGGCTAAGCCTTAGTGGATAAGGGAGCAAGGACTGTGGAGCCAAATTGCTTGGGTTCAGCTCCTGGCTGCCATTTGGTGGGAGGTGGGGTGCAAACTTTTCTCGATTTCATCTGTAAAGTGGAGTTTGTTAACTATAAAGATACACTGTGAGGATTATGTATCCTAATCAGAATACTAAATGTTTTGCTTTGTCAGGTCTATGCTTCTCAGCGAATGAGAGCTGGCAAGGGTAAAATGAGAAACCGACGACGTATCCAGCGCAGAGGACCATGCATTATTTATAATGAGGACAATGGTATCATCAAGGCTTTCAGAAACATCCCAGGTAATTCTTATACTGTTTATGTATTTTTATTATCCAGTACTGTCTTCTTCCGCTTTTGTTATGATGAGATTCCACTTCATGGTCCGTGTTTCTGAAACACATGATAATTGTGGAAATTTCTGATTACACCATTGATGATTGTAAATCTTCATAGTTCAATAAGATTAATGCAGATTTAACTGCTAATTGGATAGTTCACAAGTATCTGTGTAGTGTGTGTTCCTTCTGTTGCAGTCTGCTAATTCTCTTTTCCTTTTAAAAGGAATTACGCTGCTTAACGTAAGCAAACTGAACATTTTGAAACTTGCTCCTGGTGGGCATGTAGGGCGTTTCTGCATTTGGACTGAAAGTGCCTTTCGTAAGTTAGACGAACTGTATGGCACTTGGCGAAAAGCTGCCTCCCTGAAGAGCAACTATAAGTGAGTGTTTTTTCATACTGCTACTCTTAACACTGATGGGTTGATACTGTGGATATTTACATTCAGAATTGGTTTGCATGTTTGCTAGGTAACAGTATAGTGGAAACACTGAGTTCTAGATGCATGGATGGATTTTAAAATGTATCTTCTATTAAGGTTCCTGTTCTTTAGTCAATTATGTAAGAAATAGGAATTTGGGCATCTGTTGTGAAATTTTTCCCCTTTTTCCCTTCAGCCTGCCCATGCACAAGATGATCAATACAGACCTTAGCAGAATCTTGAAAAGCCCCGAAATCCAAAGAGCCCTCCGAGCACCACGGTAAAATTGTTCCATTTACAGTATAATCTTTCCCAACCTTTCATTATTAGATACTAAATGTGGATAGTTGGCAGGATTTGGAATCTTACACAGCAGTGTGAAGAAAATGTTAATAGATTGTCTGCTTTTCTACAGCAAGAAGATTCATCGTAGAGTCCTGAAGAAGAACCCACTGAAAAATCTGAGAATCATGTTGAAGCTGAACCCATATGCAAAGACCATGCGCCGAAACACCATTCTTCGCCAGGCCAGGAATGTGAGTAACAACTTGTTTTATTATCGAGATGTCAAGTTTTTTAGAAAGATTTGGTTCATACTTCTTCTTTCTAATCTTTTGCAGCACAAACTCAGGGTGGCTAAGGCGGCAGCGGCAGCAGCACTAGAGGCCAAAGCAGATAAGAAAGGGGTTCCAGGCAAGAAGCCTGTGGTAGGGAAGAAAGGAGGAAAGAAAGCTGTTGATGTGAAGAAACCGAAGAAGCCTGTGGTGGGAAAGAAGGCTGCAGCCACCAAGAAACCAGCACCTGAGAAGAAGAAGCCAACAGAAAAGAAACCTACCACAGAGGAAAAGAAGCCTACAGCATAAACTCTTAATTCATTTATTCCATACAAGTTAAATCATTTGGGACAGCTTATTTTGAATAAATACCTGATCAAAGAGGCAGTGAGGAGTATGTGTTGGCTGTGTTTTGTGACTCTTGGGTAGTGGGGTTTTTTGATGGTGGTTTTAATGCTTAGTCCTAAACAATTCCAGCTCTTCATTCCATTTTATATTCTAACATCTTATACGGCCTTGGGTTTATACTGACTCTATGCACTGGAGTGGGAAGAGGTGCTTGTTCTAAATCCAGATACAAAATCCATTTTGCTACTTCACATTGTTTTAAAGTACAGTTAGTTAAAACACCTAAGAGACTAAAACTTAGGAGAGAAAAGTAAAATTCCATAAAGATTGAATGTTTTAAATAACCACAAGAGGGCAGAATTATGGAATAAACTTGACGTACTATAGTGAAAACCTGATGCTTCCCTTCAGAATGCTGCTTGTAAACCTGTTGTGTTACACATGCACTGGGGGGGGGGGGGTGCTGACACCTCTTAAACCATGAACATTTTGGCCCTTAGTATGAAAGGACCAGAAGCTTACGTTCTGAACAGCTTTATAGTAAGGCATGAATACATGTGGTGTGACACTGAGAACAGCTTTAGTATTTTTCCAAATGCTTATGAACTGAGGTCACTGCACATCTTGCCACTCTAGAATTAACTTCCTTTTCCCTTGCAATTGCCCTTTGTCAGGCTGTTCTGATCCTGGAATGTTAAAACAGGTTCCCATTGGTCATCCCATCAAATTCCACTGCCCTGGTGACTCCCATTCACAGTAACAATTTGGCTCCTTAAAGGCAAATGTTATGTACCATGATGTCGGAGGAGACTCGTACTGACCCCGTCCTTGGGTTTCTGGTGGTGGGTTTTAACCGCCAGCCTTCTGGTTAGCAGTCAAATGCCTTAGGCACTAGGGTGCTAGGGCTCCCTAAAGGCAAATAAAAGCACTTTATCCCAGTGCATTTACGTTAGCATTTTACTTTACCCAGTTACACACCCACTAGGAATTCTTCCTTGCTGAACTTCTATGTTAAACATGGTTCATGTGTCATGACTTAAGTAGGGGCTGGTGATTTCGGTCCCTGCCTTCAGATATCTGCAGGTGTATGAGTTAAATGGCTATTTTCTGGAACAAAACACGGGAGTGCGAGACACCAAGTGCTGTTACTTGAGCCATTTGAGATTGATTTTTTTATCAGGAAACGGGCTACCAGGTTACAGGATTTATCCAAACCCATGATTTATCTCTTAAGTTCTTTACAGTTCCAATGGTACTTTTGAGAAACTTGAACATTATTCATGAGAGTACCTTTTAGTTTGAAACGTGGGTTTATCGCTTGGAGAGGAGTCCCGGAACTCCCGGTAGAGGCGGCGAGGGTCAGAGCGGAAGCAGCTCTTGCGGCTTTTCCCCAACATGGCCGCCAGCCCTGCCCTGCTGTTTGGTTTCCGGGAATGCGGAGGGGTTGGCGTCATCACAGAGCGCCCCGGCCGACTGGGCTGCGCAGAGAGCCACCTACTTGAGGGATAATGCTGAGCCGGCTTCAGGAGCTACGCAAGGAGGAGGAGACGCTGCTTCGGCTGAAGGCGGCACTGCACGACCAGCTGAACCGACTCAAGGTGACTCCGCGGCCCCTACTCATCCTTCCATTTCGCCCGCGGGACCACCTCTTGTACGCCCCTAGAGCCCGGCTCCCGCGGCTGCCCGCTTCCCGAACCTGGACAGCCTGTCACAGAACCCCATCCCTCTGAGGTGCCCATCAGGATTTCCCACCCAAGCCCCTGGTTGGACCCCGACTGCTGTTGCCCGACCCCTTCGTCTGGCCCTTGTGGTACCCATCTAGTGGATCCCAAACTTTTGTATCCAAGGCACCTGGTGATCTTGTTGAGAGACTATTGGACCCCACCCCTCTCAGAGTCTTGATCCTGCGGGCTTAAGATAAGGTCCAGGAATCTGCTTGTTTGGCAAGAACACGCCCATCCCAATCCCCATCCCCCAGCCTCCAGAAGAGCAGGTGGCTCACAGACCACACACTGAGGAAGTGCGACTTCCCCAAGGCTCGCCTAGACCTTCCCTGCCCACCGACCTCTTCCTCCTGAACCGCTACAGCATTTACTGCTTGTTTTGGCGCTTGCAAAGCTAAAAGGGACTGTCAGACAAACCCCTCTCCAACCCCTTTCTGGTAAGGGAGACACTAAGGCTCCAGGAGAAGCCTAGAGTTCCTGGTTGCTTTTCATCCTGGAGCTGTTACTGACTTACATGGCTTTTACAAGGAGTAAGGGTTGTAGTTTCACGTAGGCCACTTCCCAGGCTTGTGCTTCTGCATAATTCAGCTTTCAGCCCCTGTGATGAGATCATAATAATCTCTGCTCAGCACCCTTATTCAGGATCTTTAAATCCACGTTACGAGGATTAGGAAAGCTATTTGTGAATGACAAAGTCCTGTACGACTTTTGAGATATCAAAGAAATAAAACTTTTCCTTCAGAGCAGTTGTAATGGCTCACACTTACCTCCTTATATCTCGCCAGTACAAGTATGTAATGTGTATGTTGACGACCTCCAGAGCCCAGATGTCTTGTCCTCCAGGAAATGTTTTGTATTGGCAGCCTTGGCATGGCAAGAACACCTGTGCAACCCGAAGCAAGGGGCTGGAGCCTTGCTTTATCCATATCCTTAAAAGGCAGGGAAAGATTAAGAGCCCTACCCTTCTCTAGAGCAGTCTAGATATTACAGCAGTTTTCACTTCCTCTCACGATGCCAACCTTTTACAGCCTGCTCAGTAATTTTTACAAAATTCAGTAGCCCAGTGAAAGAATAAGGAAAAGTGCTCTTAACCCTTCTTTTCCAGGTTGAAGAGCTGGCCCTTCAATCAATGATTAATTCTAGAGGAGGGGATGAGATGCCACCTTCTCAATCTGCACCTGAAAGGGCACAAGATGTAAGCTGTGCAAGATGTGGGTCTAGGGAGAAAATGCAAAGTCCGTTCTGCTCTCATGTTGCTGGGTGGTCAAAAATTGTAAATCACATTACTGGGCCCAGAGGCCTCTGGGAAATGCTGACATGAATTAATATTCTAGTTTAATAAGCTGTTAGTTCTGCATTACTCTTTTAGGCATTGAACACAGCCCACTTTCCTATAAGTTGGTTATACTTTATTAACAAATAATACATTGCCTCCGCCCTCCTGGTTATCCATCCTATCTAGCTACTCGGATGAACCAGGGGGAGCAAGGAGATCCCTGCAGAGAGATGTCAAATCTATTGCTGGTTTGTACATGATAAATGACCTTGGAGTTAGAAAACAGAGCATGGCTTTAACTACAAAGTGTAATGCTTAAAAATGAGTTCTAATCTTCCTTGTATCCCTCCTCTTACCCAAATGCCTTCGAGTCAGTCAGTAAAACCATATTCTTTCTTAATATACCATTTTTGAGTAATTTTTCCAGGTGCTGTTTATTAGTGAAAGCCATTTAAAACCATTTGAAAGCAGCACATCTAAGTCAGTACAATTCTTAGGTTGGCACTTTCTATAAGAACAGTGTTTGAAAATCAGGTAACATTCTGTCAAATCTGGGACATGTACACTCCCCTCCATTTTAGCATCAGGGCAGAAGGGATGTGGAGAAATAAGCAAGTGACCATTCCTCTTGTGTGTAATTCTTAAGGGTCATAAATAGTTGAGGATGGAGATCCAATTTAATTTGATTTAAAAATGTTTTTTAAAAATGTTCAATTTTGAGGCCAGTGTTTTTCCTACTAATCCATAATGTCCTTGGTTAAAGCAGATGTTGGTGCATGTAGACAATGAAGCATCAATCAACCAAACTGCACTGGAGCTGAGCACAAGCTGCCATGCTCTGGAAGAAGAGGAGGAAGAAGAGGATGAAGAATCAGATTCTTGAAGGGGGAAGGAACCAGGGTTGCTTAGTTATACAAATTAAATTTCTAAGGCTCAGGAACTTCTCTCTAAAGGAATCTTTCTGGCATGGGCCTTAAGCCTGCTTGAAAGGGAAACGGGGACTATATAGAAGGATGTGCGGTTATAAAAATGGCTCCTCAAGCTTTAGGGTGTTTTAACAAAAATTGGTGAAATGGCTGAGGCCTGTGACTTAACACTCTGAATGCCGCCTCAGAAGGACACATCCCGTTGCCACCAATAGAGACTATTCACACTGTTTGGGGGGGGGGCATGAAATGTAGAAAACCAAAGATGCAGCATCTGAGCATTAAGTAATACGGGTGGTGCTGTGCCTGTAATCTAGTCAGATTCAGTAACTGGACAAAACTTCCTCTGAAATGTCATTGAAAAAGCCTGGCATTTGCAAAAATGGCAGAGTTTAAAAAGCCAGTCTTTCCAATCAACAACAGCTCTTTTAAGCAGGGCTTCAAACCAGTCAGGTTGGACCCCAGATATACTGAACCAGAATCTACATTTTAACAAGATCCCCAACTGATTGTTACATATATATAAGGTGATCTGTGGGAATCACTTGGGAATGAAACAGTTCAAAGCCCTGCTTTTTTAGACAACCCAATTAAAGATTGGTAACATGCTGCAGGAACCTGTGAGCACAGCAAGGCCAGTCTTGGGAGAGAGAAAGATGGCAAGGCAGGCAGAGTATAGAGGGTGGCTTGAGGGCACAAGCTGTTTCCACCCTGCTCAGTGGCATCACGACACGATGCCCCCTTTAGACTGCTTTTTGTATGGCTGTCTTCACATCTAGCTTGAGACATCACAGTGTGGTGAGGTGCGCTTAGAAATCAATTACCGCTAGCTGGTTTCCAGATAACAGCAGAGAAAAGGATTAGTTCCTCCTTTGGTGAAAACAATGTAACGGATGGCTTAAAACCCCTTTCAGGCCTTAAGAGGAAGCATACCATTAAAGAAAACATCACTATGCTTGGGAGATTTAATTTTTACAATAAAGAGAGACAGCTACAGAATAAGAGTTGGTGGAACTTGGTATTTGAAGTTGAGATTCATTTCTGCATCCTGTCCCTTTTTCCACTGAATATACAATTAAGTTAGTCGTACTTAATTTTGCTCTGGGCAGTCTGCCCTGCCCAGTGACAGAAAAACCAAACAAAACACAAAGACCCCAAGCAGAACTTTGATGTAACATTCTCCAGAAGAGAATATGGACACATTTTGTAATTGGGATTTCACTAAAGTTATTTTGAACTACTCTTACAGAAATTGCCAGAAGTATAAATGAGCATGTTTCTTGGAAAGCATAATGTGAAATGTTTCTGCAATAAAAAGCATCAATGAACATGCTTTTGGGGTCTAATTTAAAGTATAAGCATGAGAAAAAACTTGGCTGGAAAACTAGGCTTTGAATTCTAGCCCTAAAACTCATCTAGCTCTTACCACTAACTAGTCACTTATTTGCCCTTTCACCTCTGCAACTCTCAACTTTTCCATCTGTTAAAAGGTTAGTCACATCTGCTCTAGCAATTTTGAAGGTTGTTATGAGGTGCTAAAGAGATATCCAAAGGAGCCCTGGTGGTTCAGAAATGCTCAGCTGCTAACTGGAAGGCTGGCGGTTTGAACCCACCCGGCAGCTCCATGGACCAAAGACCTGGCAATCTGCTCCCATAAAGATTACAGCCTAGGGAACTCTGTGGGGGCAGTTCTACTCTGTCTTCGGGTTGCCATGAGTCAGAATAGACTAGATAGCATACAAAAATGAGATGTTCAAAAATCCAACTATGTATTATAGATGTCTAGGGGACATCTATAACTATGTGTCATGTATAACTATGTATTATAGATGTTAAGGGGAATTTGAGGAAGGGGTCTGGCACTGGGGAACTCTAAACACTGAAAGACGCAGTGAACATCATTCTTGAAAACAAGATCATTCTTAGTAAAAATTACTAGGAGAAAAAAAAATTGACTGCAAATGCAGTATCTTGGACCATCAATCAAATGGCACCAAACTTGAAAGCCTTTGGATCCAGGTTTTAGACACCAGGTTACACTGTTCTTCCTCCTGTGGATGCAGTTTGCTCATTTTAATGAGACAGTTCTCAGTAGTGGTGTCAGTCTCTGTTATCAAAAGACACAGAGTGTGAGGAAGGTTGGTCTTAAACCTCAGCCTGAATGTTTTATGTTGAAAACATCGAAGTCAGACTGGCCATAGAATAGCTGTTAGCCTCACAGCAGAAAAAAAGTATTGACTAACCACCTACTCAAGAGATTATTTCCCTGAGTTACGTTTAATCTGAAAATGTAGTAGACTTTTTAGTCTTAAATACATACCTTGGCTTTGGTTCTCTGTAACCTGCCCTTTCAAAGAAAATGGAGAGTTACTAAGCAGCTTCACATGCACCTATAATTCCCAAAGTCACTTCAAAGAAGGAAGGGGGATACATGGCCAGTTGGGACATGCCTTTGTTTTCTCTGACTTCACTGCCACCTTAACAGGCATGACAAAGCCAGTGCCAGGCACATTCCTCTCAAGGAAGTTGTGGTTAAGTGTAACTGGAAAAAGGGAATGACAGTGGGTCAGTATAGCAAAACACATGATCTGGGGCAATGGCTCCAGCTGCCAGCCCACCAGCAAGGCACCTCTGTGAGCTGTGGTCCTGTAACTGAGCAGCCCAGGTCCCAGGCTAGCTACCTCATCATGGGAAAGTGAGAAATGTTTTGTAATTTTCTTCAGATTTGTTCCCACCCTCATCCCAGGCTGCTGCTTTTCACTTTTATGAATAGGTAGAAGGAAGGTGGTTCAGTGAGAAGAGCTGAACAAAATTTCAATCATTTTGTGATTCAAAGATGGGAATCCCAGGAAACGCCATTAATCCAAAGCACTGAACTTGTCTTGCTGTGGTGTTTGTGCCTTCCAGCCCCTTTCTGTCTTTACCTTTCTTACACTATAATGTTTGGCTAACTTGTATGATTTCTTATGTACTAAAGAAACTGAAAATCCTACCACATGGGTAAATAAAGCTTTCATCATTTTCTTTTTTTTACCTTGATAGTATATTTTATTAGAATAACAGATTAGATTCATTAAACATCTGGATTAAAACGGTTAAAAGGATTTTCATACAATTTTTAGGCATTATACACACTTGTTTTACAATAGCATCAGTATTTGGATTCAGGGAAGAGAAACGACACATTGTAACGCCTTGATCCATTTATGACATTCAAAATAACTGGACCATTTTAGAAACACTAATCCAAACTTAAAGTGACATACACTGCTAAATAACCCCACACGGTATATTTAAAAATAAATAAAGAAATAGAACCAGAAGTCTACAAATCATCCTGGTAGACAGACTGGTGAAGCCCTGGCTATTGTGGCAGTGAAGGGCTCTGGCTAGATTTTGATGGGAAATGCTGAATTATACATCAAAAGCAAATAATACTACTAGAATAATATGATGTACACTTTTTGATGTTCATTTTCATAGCAGCAAAGCATGCCCACATGCACTGCCTATGAGGGGTCTCACGGGTGCTTTCTTCCTCAGACAGAGAGAAGGTGCACCTGGCAAGAATGAAGTACCGTGAAGTGTCAGAGAATCCTGCAAACAGCCAGCCAGCCAGTTATAGTGAGGGAACAGCAGTGCAATTTTCATTAAGAATGACTACCCAAGTCACCAGAGTTTCACTATAATTCACCGTTGCACATGTTTTGATTATCAGGATACACACAAATACCCCAAGCACACAGCCAATCCACTTAGGGGAATAAGAATAGTAGTAAGAATAAAGACAGTAATAGTAAAAATCACACAAGTAGAATTTTGGCACATGCTGTATTCTTCATCCTTTGTCTCAGGTGAAATGCACATCTGAATGGAGACAGGCATGGGAACAAGGCCCCAAAGCAACTTGGCACACCACTGGGCAGGGAACTCCTCTCTGCTGCTTCATTAAGTCTTAGACGCCAGCGGCATGAGTTGGTGTACTGGGCTGGTTAAGGCCGATAGTAGAGCAGAGCCAACCTGCAAAATCCACTTCTTCAGCATCAGATCTCTTGATAAAAGCATGAACCTGGATGCAAACAAAAGAAAGGGGGGGGGGGAGGAAGTAGTGTTAAAAACCACCAAGAAGAAATATCCAGGAGTCTTGAGGGTAGAGCAGCTAGGACTTGGAAGGAGCTCCTAGAGCTGCCCTTGAGCAGCAGTGGGAGCCAGGAGAACAGGGCCAACTGCAGGCCAAAGAGCTGGCTCAGCCTGGCACTACCAGCCACACTGGCTGTAGACCTCCCCACACAAGGCCGTGGGGAGGTAACTTGACAATCTGAGTGAGAAATGGGGGTAAAAACCTCGCCTTATACACCTCACAGGGCTGTCAGAGGGAACAAAGGAAATGATGGGCTTCAAATGCATGTTACACTGTACAGGCAATAATAAGACATGCAAAATACAGTATTACTACTACCCCCCAGCCACCAAACAAGAGGAAGCAAGTAGAGACTGACCCAGGGAGGGTGCTGCCAGTGGGAATATAAGAGGAGCCAGTCAGTATTAATGCCCAGGCCCTATGAAGAAGGTGGGCTGGCCCTTTCCTCAACTGCCTTGGACTCTTCTTCCCACACTCACCCAGGCTGGGGGTCCTTTCTTTTAAACTGACAGGAAGACAGAGGAGATGGGCACTTAGTGTTCTGCAGCCCCAAGGCCCACTGACTGCAGTGGTGAGGGCAGAGCAGGGAATGGGGTGGAAGGATGGAAGGTAATGAATGTGCGAAAAGGAGAACAAGTTGAATAAACAGATAGTGTAAGAATCTGAAATAAATGCACTTACCATGAGTTGCTTCAAATCTGCTCTCTCTGCAGGGTTTTTTATTAGGCTTAAAGGAAGTGAGAGAATGTGAGAGCCATTGCCTGGCACAGGTTCTAATCATAATTACTTATGTCTGTATGCCCATCCTCCCCCACC